AACTAGGGAGCTCCACTTCCTAGTGTTAGTGTTAAGTCTTTATTGGCATTTCATTATAGACACATTGATTGTGCTATTGGCCAAGAGCTAGAGTTCAGTCTCCAGGCCCTTTTCCTGCAGTGGAGCTGCCTCAAATCCCCTACCTTCCAAGCACATGGTTGTTCTTGCCGTTGAACAAACACCATCCTAAGTCACCTCAGATCTTAGCATAAACACACAAATGTCATTTAAGGAGCTCCAGAATAACGGACACTCCTATTTCATGGGAAATTCCAAAGATTTAGTCTTTTCCAGGAATAGAGAAAAGTGCCAAATTCTTTATTTTTTTAGTAGCTCACAAAACCAGGAAAAATTATGATTTGCAAAATACATTTGATGGAACACAAGTTCATTAAAAGTTTTTGAAGCACACAGAATATTAGATAACTAGTGCTCAGAGAACCCTGAGAAGCCATTTTCCAGCACCAGTATACTGATTCACAACTTTGTTAAGGGATCTTTGTCTTAAAGCTTTTCTTTGGAGTCTGAATTGTCTGCTTTAGAAAGGTTAGTTTTGAGCCTGTACCATGGCATACTACGTAAGTCTCAGTTTGCGGTGCTAGCATCACATATGTATGCCAGTTTGGATCCAAGCTGTTCTACTGCCAATCCAATTCCCTGTTTATAGCCTGGGAAAAGCAGCAGAGGCTCAAGTCCTTGGGCCCCTGTACCCACATGGGAGACCCCAAGATGCTCCTGGCTCCTATCTTTGCATTAGCTCAACTCTGGCCATTGTGACTATTTTGGGAGTGACAGCAGATGGAAGATCTCTTTTTCTCTGTGTAGCGTTGACTTTCAAGTAAAATAAATCGATTTTTTAAAGTTGGTTTTACTCAATGGCTATTCTCAGTCCAGTTTACAAGATTTAATAATAATTGAGTTGCAACAATAACTGACATTTATTGAGCTAGAAAGGTGCTGGGTGCCAACATATTATTTTAGACACTAGGAAGTAAAGATAATATGTTTGTGAGACAGAAGAAAATGAGGATCCTGCATCAGAAACAACATTAACAAATATTGTCAGGCTCCTATAGAATTTTTGCACAGGTAAGCATTCATTGCATTCCTGAATTAAAAAAAAATCTGAGAGATGAAAGGTCTCAAAATTGTAGCAGTAACATTGAACAGAAACTCAGTAACTATGAAGAAAGCTTCATAGCTTCCAAGGCAAAGCTCAGTCTATAGAACAGGGTTCAGCACAAAATCGAAGAAGTGGACAGATGTTTGGCACAACATTTCAGTAGGTGCTTGGGGTGCCCACATACCGTATCAGAATGCCTGGTTCTAGATGTGGCTACTCTGCTTCCAGTCCAGCATCCTGCTGTCATGCAGCTTATGGTTCAGGTCCTTGGGTCCCTGCCACCCATGAAGGAAACCTAGACTGAGTTCTAGATTCCTGGCTTTGACTGAGTCTAGCGCTGGCTATCATGGGCCTTTGCAGAATGCACCAGAAGAGAGAGAGGCACTCTCTCGCTATCTCAATTTCTAACTCTTCCTCTGCCCTTCTCCTGTCTCTCTTTCTCTCCCTTTTAAATAAATAAATAAGTAAAACACAGTAAAGATGTAGTGCATTTGACATAGTTATTTACAGGTGGTGGCAGGTGGAGGGGTCTGGGCCAGTTGAACTATGCAGAGTGCTCAGGTGTATGCCTGAAAAGAATAGCCTGGACCTTTTGTTTTGTGTTGTGTTGTTTTTTAAGAATAATAGATCCAAAGACACAAAACTAACAAAACCGTACTGTTAAAACATCACAAATTACCAAGAAAAGACTATTTAAAAAATGAAATGCATTTCTTTGTGGCCAAATGGGCCCAATTGGAAACCGTTATGCTAAGGGAAATGAACCAATCCCAAAAGGTTAGATACCATATGTTTGCCTTAATTTAAGATGAAATGATGGGCCCAGGGGTGTGGCCTAGTGGCTAAAGTCCTCAACTTGAACACGCCGGGATCCCATATGGGCTTCGGTTCTAATCCCAGCAGCTCCACTTCCCATCTAGCTCCCTGCTTGTGGCCTGGGAAAGCAGTTGAGGATGGCCCAAAGCTTTGGGACCCTGCACCTATGTGGGACACCCGGAAGAAGTTACTGGATCCTGGCTTTGGATCGACATAGCATCGGCCCGTTGCGCGCACTTGGGAATGAACCATCGGACGGAAGATCTTCCTCTCTGTCTCTCCTCCTCTCTGTATATCTGACTTTCCAATAAATAAATAAATCTTTTAAAAAACATTTTTAAAAAAGATGAAATGATGTAAATCCTAAAAACAGTACCTGTAAATTATAACATTTTTACACCCTCAAACAACCTGCATCACACTCAATAAGATATTTTGATGTAACCAATGAAACAATAATCAGTTAGAGACACACTGCTTATGAACTATACCAAGAACTTAAAAACTTGATATGCTTTTAATACCCTATGCTATTCCGCAATGGGTTGGGAGAGCAGAGAAATCTTCCATCTTCTTGGAGTGAGTAAGGAAGATGTTAAGTATAATCTATCAAGATTGTAACAGGTAACTTATGGACAGCAGACTCAAATCTGCATTAGACATCAACAAAAACTATAAAGACATACAGTGGGATCCAAGAGCAATCCTGACAGCCTCTTAACAGGAGGTCATATGCAAAGAGCAGGAGGGGACCCCAGAGTGGAGCAGGAGGACAGGAGGAGGCTTGTATCCTAAACCCGGAGACTCAAGGTAGCTCACCAAGGACTATCAGTACGGGCACCAAGGACTATATCCCAACTGCCAAGGAGATCACATGGAATTGGAGTGCCCTCGTAAGCCGAGAACTCTGAGGTCAACCATTCTCTATCGGGTCTCCCACATGAGATGGAACAAGCCCAAATCCTTCCTCACAGGATCCGAGGTCATCAGAACAACAGCCAGGAACCCTGAGCAGTCCTCAGAAACTGTTCTAACAGTAAACTTCCTTCGGGACTAGGGAGAGGAGCTTTTCTCTGGTCCTTACTTAGTTCTACCTTTGGCTCCCCACCCTCTCTTGCAGTGACCATCAGGGTTGCTCCAGAGCCCCCAAAATTAGATCAGATAGACAGAGACAAGTAAGGGAAGCTTAGAACAGTCAGGAAAAAGTCAGCTTGGACTATCATATACCTTACTAGGTAGGACACAAAGATCAGTTACTCTTCACTAAGGTATTGAAGATTTCTCTGCACACCCCTCCTAAAATTGTTCTGTTCCTCAATCGTTAACATATGGCTTGTTGGAGTTATAATCTTGTTTGGACTATCCTAAAATTCACGAAGTTCAGTAAAAACCAAGCTTGAATACTATAAGCTGCTAAATATAAAAATGAAAATGGACACGAGACAGCTGAATAGTACCCTATAACCATTTTAAAGTGTATAGCAGCTGGTTGTGTGTATACTAAAGTTGAGATGTCAATGAAGTAGTTACAGGATGTGGTTAAGAACTTGCATTTTCTAATATATTGGTCACTCAATACCATGCTAATTAACTTCATGATGTTGTAAATTTCCGTGTTTCTTCCTGTTGTTGAAGTTGTGTAGTGGCTTGTCATTGGAGGGGATGATATTCTGCCAGCTCTACTTTCAGACCAAGGATGGTCTCCCAATGAAACTTGAATTTATCTGGATAATAAGATGCTGGAACCTCCACATGTTCCATGCCTGCAATGAAAGACTCATGGCTGGTTCTGAACTGTACTACTGTAGCAATATGGAAGATTTCAATTTGGGGAGGGGCTCGGGGTATCCCAGAGCCTATGAAACTGTGTCATAAAATGAAATAAAAAAAAAATTACAAATTACGAAAAGACTTCAAAATAATAGTATAATTAGTTTTAACTAATAATTCCTTAAAGTTTGTATTTATTTACATTACCCTGTATCCATGGGTGATTTTATTTATTCACCTCTTAGTCACTTGGTGTTTCTATGCTGGGCCAAGCAGTAAGGGTATGTTGCATAAGATTCCTGAGTTTGTAAAGCTACAGCTCAGGAGTAAAAGATTTCTCATTCAGGCATAACATCGCCTTAACACTTTAGTGTGTGGTTTGGTGCATTATAGTATAAGTCATCTCATGAGCAAGATATATAACTATTAGACCCAAAGTGTTGAGAGAATTTAGTGACATAAGAAATTGTGGCATATAGCTTAATGCAATGTGCAAGCTAGATAACTGAATGGGAATATCTTATTATGTAAATGCATGAGAAAACCCTACTATGAAGTGTATGTTGTTAATGTTTCAGTGTTATTTTTTTTCTTAGAGCATAAGTATTATATAAGTATTATAAAACTGTGTTTATCAAATTTTCAGAGGACTTGGTTGGTTATATGAAATTAATCCCCTGCTCAGTACTTCTGGTTCTGTGGCTGTGAGAGAAAGGAACATGCCTACTAGTTTAGGTTTCCATGTAGGGTTGGGTCCAAACTGGTCTGCCCTCCATCCTCCCTTTAGGAAAGCCAGAATTAGGTTTAACCAGAGTCCTTTGCTGATCCCCTGAACTTTGCTAGGGTCTTGTGATAGAAAATAGTCAACACTTGGGCCCAGCATGATAGTGTGGCGGTTAAAGTCCTCTCCTCGAACATGCCAGGATCCCATATGGGTACCAGTTCTAATCCCAGCAGCCCCGCTTCCCATCCAGCTCCCTGCTTGTGGCTTGGGAAAGCTGTTGAGGACAGCCAAAGTGGTTGGGACCCTGTACCCACATGGGAAACCCAGAAGAAGCTCCTGCTCCAGGCTTCGGATTGGCTCAGCTCTGGCCGTTGCGGCCACTTGGGGAGTGAACCATCGGATGAAAGATCTTCCTCTCTGTCTCTCCTCCTTTCTGTATATCTGCCTTTCCAAAAATTAAATAAATAAATCTTTAAAAAAAAAAAGAAAGAAAATAGTCAACACTTAAAAAAAATGTATTGGAAAAGTGACTGGATTTTCTAACCATTACTTATTCTCACTGCCCAGGTTACCCTTTTCCTACTGCTCCTCCTGTGGACCCATTTGCCAAAATCAAAGTGGATGACTGTGGAAAAACTAAGGGATGCTTTAGGTTGGTGAACCACAAATTGGGTAACTTTAAAGTTAAGCAATTGATTTGCATCTCAAGGTAGTATTAAAATTGCATGCAATTCACTTTACTCGTCATTCCATCAGAGCCATGAAGTTTTCTAATGGCCACTCCAGTGTCTTGTGCTAAAGGCTTTTAAAGAACACACTAGACACTGGACCAGTTTCTACATCTTTGCTCACCATACTACCCTTGGAGAATGTGTTTACTCCGCACTGAATGTTTGTATGAAACAGGTTCACATGACGTAAAATAGATCTTTGCTTATTCAGTAAGGCCTTGTGGGAAATGTGGGTAATGATATGTGTATCTAATACCCAAGTCCTTTGTAAATAGTTGTGACTTGTGGACATCTGTGTGACACTAACTGGTCATTAAGTATGGGTTTACAATAACCATCTTGTCATCTCGTATGTGGTGAATCCCCTACATGATTTTGGGTAGTGTTTTGCCAAGATAAGATCGCTGGGACTTGGAAACTGTAGAGTTCACAATTGCCCTCTAGTGTGGACTGCTCTGCTTTTTTGGAAAAGCTGCCTCCTCCTTGAACTTGCCTTCAGGTCAAGGTTCTAATGGCCAATGTACTGAGGTTCTGAGCTTGCTACTGCTGTTCAGCATTCAAAGTCTAAGAGGAATTGAAAACAGAGGCTTTGAACTTTCTTTGAATTACAAAGCCACATTTATGGAATTTAAAATGTAGCAATACTGCTATACAAGAAGATGATCAGCCACATGCAGTTCTGTTGACTGGGAGATGTTTTGACAAGAGGAGTTCTAGTACCCTGCTAGCTTCGGAGTGATTTGTTTTCTGGCACCTTCATTCTCCCCTTAAGCTTCCTTACCTTTTTCCATCTTTTTCTCACCAGGTCCAGATTGCCTGGCTCTTACTACCTCTTCTAAAGGTCTGGGTTTCTGTCAGCATGGGAGCATGTACCTGCCTCCCTCCTTAATTTAAACTTTACTTCCCAGTGTGCTGGTCCTTTAGACACCTTCCTTCCAATTTTCGATTATCTCATCCATCACTACAGTTTTGTGTTATTCTGAAAATGGTGTCATCCAAGTGTCCCCAAGTGAGGCTTTGCCAGTTATTAAAGGGGACACAAGTCCTCCCTAAATGAATCTAGGTTAACATTTGCATTTCAGTGATGGTCTTTGAAGAGATGAGTGTATGCTCAGTCTATTTGGATAACCACCTTTGGTAGCTATAGGTTTTATTGTCTGAATTTGCAATTATATTTGCTCCAAGTATCCCAGTAGAACAAAGACAAAATTTATGAATAAATGATGCATTCATGCTGAGCAGATCCCAGATGAGGTATTCATTGGATGCTTGGTAGGAATGGGGGAGCTTGCAACAGTTTAAGAGGATGAGAGGAGGAAGGGTGAGCCTTGGTGCTGTGTGGCCAGTTGTAAGAACTCAGCTGCAAAGTCTGTGCGTGATGCACTCAGACATGCCACAAGCACACTAGCAGAATGTACCTTGAGCAAAAACTTCAGCCATGGCAGAATGCTGTGTACTTCAAAAGGCCTGGTTTCATAAAGATTAATGTATACTTAATGTGTAAACTTTGTGTTAGTTTAACTGAATGGAAAGTTACCAATACAAAGGGTGGCTGCACATTGAACCTACAAAAACAACTGAAATGATTAACTCAGAGAATCTTCTCTCCCTAAAAGAGATTCATGAATAACCCTGTAATAACAAACCTCTAAGAAATTAATATAGTGCAGGGACACTGGCTGGGAGTGCAGAGACCCAGACTCACATGCTGATGTCACTGCTTTTGCAACACAAGCTCCTGCCCACGCCGGGACCTCAGGCTTCTGTGTAGTAATGCGGAGCCCAGCATCTCCAGGGTCCCTCCCAACTGAGTGGAGCTGTATTTTTGAAGTCCCAGTAGCAAAGATGTACTTTATATATTTTGTAACTCAATAATGTTGCTCAGCTTGCTGCCTGTGTGTTTGGAATGAGCCAACACAATCTCGTCTTTCTTGTCACATCGTGTAGGTATGGCAAACCAGGCTGTAACGCAGAGACCTGCGACTACTTCCTCAGCTACCGGATGATCGGGGCTGATGTGGAGTTTGAGCTGAGTGCAGACACAGATGGCTGGGTAGCAGTTGGATTCTCTTCAGACAAGAAGATGGTAAGAGCAAACAAATCGTGATAGGAGCTGATTTTTTTTTTCCTCTTTGGTTTTCTGTACTGCTTTAGACTTTAGAGGCAAAATAAATTGATCCGAGCGGCATATAATGTGTCCATTATGGCTCACTGATGACAAGCTGAAACAAATTCAAACTAATTGAAAGGTAAGGGTTGGTTTTCAGAAAACAAGGGGTCTTATGTACCATGTTCACCAGCTACATTCACAGTAATGAGCAAGAAGAGCCCCCACAACTCCATAGCTCACACGGTAGGCATCTGATTCTGGCTCCCGCATGTGTGTGGATTGGCTGAGATTCAGCTCATTTGAAGTGGGGCTCAGCTGGGCTTGGAGCCACTCCCTAGGTTGGATTCAGGTTTTCTCTGTTTTCTCAAGAGTCTGGAGCAAGCAGCTACCCAAGGCATGTTCTTTTCCTGGCAGAGGCAGAAGTGAGGAGCTGCTAAAAGAGGAAAACACAAACTGTGCTTCCTTATTCCTCTCCACTCACACACCCAACACAGAGTACCTACTTCTTGGACCAAACCGGGGGAATTCCCAACCCACCAAGCCATCATCAGTCAGGCGCTCACTAAGTGCCTCACTGTTAATTCCTTCAGGTGTTGCTTATTTAGAAATAGCATCAAATTCCTCAGGTTGAAGGCTCTGTCCCCCTTCAGCTGCCAATGGCAGGTCCCAAGTGGTTTTACCTGTGTCCCTGGTCCACTGGGTGTACACTAGGTTCCCACTGCCCCTTTCTTGGTTGCAGTTAATTTGTTACAGTAGCCTACTTACATTTACCCATTCATTGTGAATGATATCACAAAGAATACTGTTAGGCAGCCAGTTGGAAGAGATGCCTAGGTGAAGAATGAGGGAAGAGACCTAGAAATTCCAGTTACCTCTGGGCACATCAGCCCCCTGCACCTCAACTGAACCCTATCCTTTAGTTTTATGGAGACCTCATTCTGCACACACGGTTGATTAGAATCATTGACTGCCAGGGCTCACTTCAACCTTCATTCTCAACCAGCCATTCTCTTGGAGATTGTGGGTTTGAAAGTCTCAACTCTCCAACTGTCCTTTGTCCTTTCTGGTGACGAGACCCCATCATGAAACTGTCTAGGGGCTCAGTGACTGGTCATCTCATTAGCGTGTGGAAGCTACTCTTAACGATGCCAAAGACTGTGCCAGGCTCCAGGGCCAGAGACCAATATGTATTTATTAGTATATGACAATATTGCAGGGCTGGAAAGTATATTCTCCTTCCCAAATGCCCTGGAGAGGTGGAGATGCAGAATACTACAAAGGAGCTAAGAATTGGGTCCAACAAATCAGTGCCTCAGAATACTATGTGTAAGGAAACACATGGATCTCGGGAGGGACATGACTAGGGATAGCCCTCCATGCCGCTCTTACCTCTGCTTTTCTTGGCTCCTCTGCTTCATTCTTTCCCCCTACTCTCAAGTCCTGTCATCTTCCACTCCCTGTACCAGGCTTCTTCCCAAATGACCAGACTTCCTTAGGCCCCAGTGCCTTTGCATGTGCTGCTATTCTTGTTGTGAGGACCCTTCCTTGCACCTGTACCTGACCACCTTGGATGTTTGTGCAGTGGTTCAGGTGAGAGGAGCATTTCTCAGACAAGGTGCATAGAAGTGATGACCACAAGCATGGTTAATAATAGGCTGTATAAGCTGGGGCTGGTGCAATGACTCAGTCAGCTAATCCTCCATCTTGCAGCTCTGGCATCCCATAGGGGTATCAGTTCATGTCCTGGCTTTTCCACCTCCACTCTAGCTCCCTGCTTATGGCCTGGGAAAATAGCAGAGGAGGACCCAAAGCCTTGGGATCTTGCACCCATATGGGAGACCCAGAGTGGCTCAAGGCTCCTGGCTTCTGGCTCCTAGCTTCCAATCAGCTCACCTCCAACCAGGCAGCTACTTGGGGAATGAACTAGGGGGTGAAAGAGCTTTCTCTCTGTCTCTCCTTCTCTCTGTAAATCTGCCTTTCTAATAAAGATAAATGGTTTTAAAAAGCACACATAAGCTACAGTTTACCATATTGTTCATTTTAAAGTGGACAGTTTGGTGGTGTCATTACATTCCATGTTGTGCGATCATTACTACTCCCCTTTTCTGGGACTTTTCTGAACGTAATTGCATTTTGTCATATATACATTAATTCGTTTCTTCTGCTGCTGGCATTACAATTTTATTATAATTATTTCCTGGAAAATTTTGGCATTTAAATTGCAGAGATCATGACCCTTTAACCGTAAATATTTCAATGGCCATCTCCTAAAATCATAGATGGCCTCTTTCATTATACAGCCTATTATTAAATTCAGGAAGTTCAACATTGATTTGATAGTACTATCAAATCTATTTATCTTCAAATGCTTCCAGTTATCCCTATACCATTATTTAGAGAAGTTTCAATTTTATTCCAGGATCCTGTCTAGGAATTTGATTGTATTGTCTCTTGTCATTTTTTTATGGAATAGTTTTTTTAGTGTTTTAAAATAATTATAATTATTTGTTCATTTGTTTTGGGAGTCTTTCATGAAGTTGACCCATTTGAAGATCTGGGCTAATGTTTGTTTTCTGGTTGTTTTGGGGTGGAGTTTGGTAGAAGGACCATTGATTTGAGTTTATCTAATTGTCTTCAGATGGTTAGTTTGGTTTATGTATTTTGGGCAGGAATACTACTTAAGTAGTTGTGTGTTTTCCAAATATCACATCACAAGGCCTTTTGAGATCACCTGATGTGATCCTAACTTTAGTCTCCTGGTTGAGACATTGAAATGGGATTTAATATACTTTTGATGAGATTTCAAATTACAAGAGTGAAAACACGCATACTTCAGAGCGAAAAGTTTGCAAAACAGAACCTTTGACTTCTTTTTCACGTCAGGGCGGTGATGATGTCATGGCCTGCGTTCATGATGACAACGGCAGGGTCCGCATTCAGCACTTCTACAATGTAGGCCAGTGGGCGAAGGAGATCCAGAGAAATCCTGCCCGGGATGAAGAAGGTGTCTTTGAGAACAATCGCGTCACCTGCAGATTTAAACGTCCAGTGAATGTTCCCAGAGATGAGACGATTGTTGACCTGCACTTGAGTTGGTATTACTTGTTTGCCTGGGGTCCAGCCATTCAGGGTAAGCTGACATTTTAGCATCTGGATTCAACACCAGCTACTACGGTACCTACATTCATTACCAATTGTCGCCACTCTGAATGTTCCTGGAAGCAGTGAGCACTCTGGGTAATATAAATGAAAAGTGAGATGTGGTCCTGACCTTCAGCGGATTGCAGTGGGCTTAGACACAGGAGGAACAGACAGAAAGCTAGAGCAGTCCAAGGTAGCGTGTGGGAGTTACATGCTAGATGAAACAGATCACAAGGCTGCTACCCGGGAGGTACAAACTCTGATTTTCACTTATTCCTCACCACCTCCTTGCGAGATTCAGATATTATTATACTGATTTTAAAAAGATTAAACTACATGTTCAAGGTTACACCACTACTTAATGGAAGAGCAAAGATGTAGTCCTGGGTCTGTCTGCCTTCAGAGTCAGTGAATATTCTGAACTGTTCTTCTCGAAAAAGATTGAGCAGGCGATGGCTTCTGGAAGCTTCTCCAGAGATTGACACAAGCTTTTCATACGTGACCTCCTCAGGACTTTCTGGTGGTCACACAGCTACCAAATGACCCTACAACTGAGCTCAGTACTCTTCAGATTCTGGTATGTATATGAATGATCTATGTTGTTGAAATGCAGTTTTCTGCAGGTGTCGGTTGAGACCTGAGATCCTGCATTTCTGCCAGATGCCCTGGTGATTTTGGTCCCCAACAAAGACCCAAAGAGACCTTAAGACCTGTGAGAGATGCAAAAATTAAGTTCCACTGTGTTTTGAATATTCTTCATGGCTAATTAGCCTCATGGCCTGACCAAGAATGAGCTTGATTTGTGGTCCTACTACCAAGAACTCATTCCTCCTCCTCGAAATTGCATATTTCCTCACTAAGGACTCAGTCACTCTGTATTGCCTCATTTAATCTGGAGGTTTGTTCCCTTCAGTTTATTTCTGTTTAGCATGCTGGAGCTTACGTGATCTACCCTCCTGGGAAAGCACTCGCATGCTTCCAGATTGAAAACATCTTTTCCTTGCCTGACTCCCCAGACCACTGAGAGTGGATCAGCAATAATATCTCCAGGCATTTTTAACCCTCTTGGAAATAAATTGTGATGCACCATGGAAAAATGAACTCATTTAAAATGATGGCATTTGGAATCTAACATTCTGAGTTCATGTTTTGGTTCTTCTTTTTGGCAGTGTAATGCTAGGATGGTATCTAGAACTTCATTTCCTTGTATCTAAAAATCAAGATAATGCCTGCTTCATAAGGTACAGTTAAAATAAAAATGAGTATGTGAAACTGATTTACAAATTAGTAAGTACATTACAGTAGTTCTCCCCTTTCTGCTCAAGTTGTATTCTAATATTCCCAGTAGGTGCCTGAAGCCCTATAAATACTATGCTTTTTTCCCTTATTTATTGACCAAATTTAGTTATAAATTAAGCACAGTGTGACATGAACAGTAATGTCAAAGAAGGACTTGTATAACTACTGCAAGAAGAGTTATGTGAATGAGCTTGCAAACTGTCTTCAAAATATTTTACAATCCTGTCCTATATTTTTGGACTAACGTAATACCAACTGCAGGAAGCAGCACCACAGATGCCAGGAGACTACAGTGTTTTCAGAAGGTCATTGTTATATACACACGTGGCATGGTGGCCAGTTCTAGTCTGGGTTCACCTGATAAACTCTCCTCAAATCTATTATTCTTCCCATTCTGTTCAAGTGCAGCAGGCTAAGTCCTAGCCCAGTTACAGGCTTGTGTGTTTCTTGGGACACTCAGCTAAATCCTCTGCATTCTTTTAAACGGAGATGGACTTTGAGCTAAAACTTGGAGGGAGCATGGGATTCAGTTTCTGCCAAGAAAGTGGCAACCATAGGGATACCTGGCTACATCTAGGAACCCATGGTAGTGACCAATGAGATGAGCTTAAGTGGAAGTGTGTCAGCGGAGTTTGTGTTACGAGGAGCAACATGGGCCTTGGAGTGAAGACCTGACTGCTTCTCTAGCAGTGCCCAACATAGCCTCACTCTGCACCCTGCTCCTAATGAGACCTTTGTCCTGAATTCATGTATCTAAGTAAACTTTTCTAACTCAAGTTTCGGGATGTCAGGTATTCCTAAAAGCTTGAGCCTCATAAGCTTCCTTTATATACAGCCTTTCCTTCTTTCTGGTGGTAACCAGGTTGGTTTCCCATCCAACGACTTGCTTGGCGACTCAATCATTCTACATTCCCTACCATCCTATCCCACCCTGCCAGAGACACACATTCAGCATACCACACTCTCCATGACGTGGCCCAAGCCATCTTAACTGTTCAAGTCCCACAGACAATGAAAGAGGGCTTCTGTTTCTAAGGCAGACTCTAGTGTTGGCAAGAGATGTTGTTGATGCATATGTTAAAGGTAGATTTGAGGGGAAAGATTGGTAGTCTTCACTGTTTGTGATCAAAGTAGATAAATTCCACAGAGACATGAAGAGAAAGCATTCATATAGTGCTAGTTAAATAGCAGTCTTAAAACTGGGATGTCACAGGGAGACCGATAGCGTTGTTCTGATAGAGTGTAGATTCATGACAACTGGAGTTGGGGGATAAATGTAGCTAATTTTTGTGTTCCTTATTATATTAGTAATTATAGAGAATTCTGATAGTACTTGAGTCTGTATATTTGTACTCACTGCTTATGTGTTCAACACTAAAGACTTTCCTGTGTTTTTCCTTCTGTTTGCCTATATCCATTCAAAATTGTGCTTTAGAAAAAAAATGTTTCTTTCCTTTTCATTTCTTCCTTAAAGGCTCCATCACCCGACATGACATAGACTCACCACCAGCTTCAGAACGTGTTGTCAGCATTTACAAGTATGAAGACATTTTTATGCCGTCAGCTGCCTACCAGACCTTCTCCTCCCCGTTCTGTTTGCTTCTCATTGTTGCCCTGACCTTCTACTTACTGATGGGAACCCCTTAACCACAGCTGCAGCCAACAGAGCAATGGAGCAGCTAGAGCAAATGGACTGCAGCGTCTTTGGTAGAAATGTGTTCGTAAAGAATACCCAATATAATTTCATCTTCTGTTCTTTAACCAACACCTTGAATGATTTCAGCTCTTTTTGAAGAAAGAATAAGCTGCTTTGGGGACTGAAGAGGATTGTTGAATCATGATGCCATACTTTTGGAAGCACTTACAAGTTTTCTAAGCACTTTCAGATGATGGTTTCTTATGTGAGCGTTCCTGCTTTTCTGTGTTGGCTTGATTAAAACGATTACTGCCATCTTACTGAATGGAATGTGGGACCCAGAGAGGCCTCTGTTTCTCATGGCTTCCTGGTCACAAAATACATAGCAGCATAGAGAAAGAGCTAGGCTCAGAAAACTTGTGTCTGAACAGTCCTTGACTCTGAGTACTACAACTTGAGACAGTTACTTTGTCACTGGGTGTCATCTGGGTGTCATTGGTTCACAGTCAGCCTTTCGAGCAGAAATTTCATACTTCCATAAAGCATAAGTGCTTTTGCTCTTATACATAGCTACTAGGGAGATTGAAGGAGATAACAGTGATATGACAATGATTCTTATTTATTTGAAATTCTCTAGTAGGGAGTTACATTTTTATTGCTGTTCAGAAAGGTTAGAAATAACTATGAGTTCATGTTCATGATTTAAAAAAAACTTGGGATTCTTAGTAGTTAGGATTTAGACTCTTCCACCACTGTTTTTTTGAAAGGCAGAGTTACAGAGAGAGAAAAAAGACTGATGTTCTATATACTATTTCATGCCTCAGATGGCCGAGTTGACCAGGGTTGGGCCAGGCTGAAGCCAGAGGCCAGGAGCTTCTTCCAGGTCTCCCACATGGGTAACTGGGGTACAGGAAGGTGGCAGCTTAAGATGCTGTACTACAACACTAGCCCCAATCACTGTATTTTATAGACTATATATTCACTTGTGGTTATGTCTAATTCTGTTGTCAGAATATAACGTTAAATATGATCTAATATGATAGATCATCTTGTTAAAAATGTCATACATTTTAAAAACAAATCAGCATGTTTTGTTTTAGAGTTATATAGAGATTTGGAGTAGAAATTTTATGAAGACTATGTTTAAAATTAGAAAATGGAAAAATGACCCGGAAATGAAATTCACTGAGAGTACCCATTCAGAATACTCTGACTTGTAAGTTGGGTCACCAGTCAGCGTAACTCCTGACAATGCCTTGATGTAATCTGCTTGCTTTTTCCTCAAGGAGCCCAAGTGTTCTGTTGTTGCAGATACCTGTGCTAACAACCCCTGTAGAGGAGACGTGCCCATGAACATAGTTCAATAGCTCAGGCCTTGGCATCACAGCTTCTAGAACTCTCTGGCTTGCCCCATTGCTTTCACGCTCGATTCAGCTCCAGCTCAGGCATTGGTATCACAGCTTCTAGAACTCTCTGGCTTGCCCCATTGCTTTCAAGCTCAGTCTATCTCCAGCTCAGGCACTGGCATCACGGCTTCCAGAAATTTCTGGCTTACCCCATTGCTTTCACGCTCGATTCAGCTCCATGGTTTTTGTGTTAAACAGCTTTGGAGACTGTGATTTTTTTTTCTGAAAAATATTTATTTATTTATTTATTTGGAAGGCAAAGTGACAGAAGGAGAGGGACAGACACAGATTTTTTTTTAATCCACTGGCTCATTATCGAAACACCAACAACAGCTGGACCAAGCTGAACGCAGGAACCAGGGACTCTATCTGGATCTCCCATGTGGGCAGCAAGAATCTGACTACATGGGCTGTTACCCACTGCCCAAGTACATTAGCAGGACACTGAAGCAGGGATGAATCAGGACTCAAACCAGGCACTCTGACATGGGATGCAGGCATCCCAAGCAGTGACTCAACCTGCTGCACCACAATGCCTACCCCCATGGAGACAACGCTTTCTAACGCCATGCTTGAGATTCATGTCACAGGTGAATGTCCACCTGTGGGGAGAGCTTTCAGACTCTTCTGGATCTGACCCCAAACAAGGAAACCGTCACTGCTCTCTGACATTGCACAGTTCCCAAGTGCTTCTGAGGGAGGTAGAACTACTCCTCATTGAAGATAAGAGATTCAGTGACATTGGTGAACTATGGGACTCAAGTCTGGGATTCCACCTGACTTCCGTTGCCTCTTCACTAGGCACCCTGGGTCTGGCTGAGTGCAATCTGTGTAGCACCTTCTCACTCACCTGTTGTGGCTGTTTAGTAGCGAGGATATGGAGTATGTAGCCACCCACATTGTAAATAAGAAAACAGATATTTTTGTATTTTACACTCGTGTACATAATGTTAGAGTTATGAATAGGGTAAAAGGGAAACTTTAGCTAGCAGGAGGCAGGGGAAGCAATAAATGAATGGAAATTTCCTTCTGCTTATATTTAAATCAAGTGTATTATTTTTACTAGTTTCTGTTTTGCAGGTTTTGAACTTTTCATTGTTATTAAGGTAAAATGCAAACCATTTAAATAATTTATTTTAATTTTAGAAAGAATTTACTCTTGGGATCTGATGTGATAGCCTAGCAGCTAAAGTCCTCTCCTTGCACACGACTGGATCCCATATGGGTACCAGTTCTAATCCCAGCACCACTGCTGTGGCCTGGGAAAAGCAGTCAAGGATGGCCCAAAACCTTGGGACCCTGCAGCTGCGTGGGAGACCCAGAAGAAGCTCCTGTCTTTGGATCAGTGCAGCTCCAGCCATTGTGGCTGCTTGGGGAGTGAACCAGCAGATGGAAGATCTTCCTCTCTTTCTCTCCTCCTCTCTGTATATGTGACTTTCCATTAAAAATAAAATAAATCTTTAAAAAATTTACTCATTTATTTGAAAGAGTTAGAGAGAAAAAGAGAGAGATCTTTAATCCGATGGTTTACTCCCCAAATGACCACTCTGGCCCAGGCTGGGCCCCCCGAAGCCAAGAACCAGTGGCTTCGTCTGGGTTGCCCATGTGGATTGCAGGGCCTGAATACTTATACCCGCTTCTTGGAACATCATTTGACCATTGTCCCAGAAAACTGTCAGTTGATAGACGAATAACATTAACATTCTGTAGACTTAAGTTCCATATAGTCTTCTCTAGTAGACAAGAATCAACTTCTTTTTTACTTTTGTATTCCCATTTTCTGTTATAATACTTGTCATAGGGTACAGGCCCACTTAGCATGTTTTGTAAAATACCTAAACAGAAAAATAATTGAACTAGATAATGGATTCAGTACTGTTCTGAGCACTTTATATATACTAACTTATTTAATGTTCACAACAGCATGACAGATATGATTAATGCAGTTTTACAGATGGAGAAACAATTGTCATTTGGCATAGATTACCAGAGCTAACAACGACGTCACTGAATCCACTGCACTTATTTTTCAGGGGGACAGTGGGGGCCAAGGAAGGTGATAGTATTTTCTACACATGCATGCATCTTCATTAAAATTCTTATTAAATGGAACCCCATCGTCAGATTTAAGTAACCTAGATATAGTCCACCCCGTTTAGTTGTTTACAGTGAACCAGAGGACAGTTTATCTTGACATTTGGGAAAAGGAGTACATTTCATTTTGTATTAGCTGTCTTTTTTGTTTAAGAGCATTTTGATTGTTGGTTTTATCAGTCAGTTTAGCGCTTTTACTACACTCCACTGTTAATAATGTGCCGGCTTGGGGCACCTGTGATGTGACCCTATGTGAGCAACGGTTTGCATCCTGCCTGCTCTGCTCCTTATCCAGCTCCCTGATAATGTGCCTGGGAAAGCAGTAGAAGATGGCTCTAGCACCTGCCTCCCAGGTGGGAAACCCAGACATTGTTCCTGGTTCCTAGCTTTGGTCTGGCCCAGTCCCTGTCATTGTAGCCATCTGGGGAGTGAGCCAATACTTTCATTCTCTCCCTCTGCCTGACACTCTGCCTTTCAAATAAATAAATCTGTTTAAAAAAATAGTGCACAGGTTGTATAAGACTGGAGAAATGTATTTATCTTAGTTGAATTTTGAAAACAGCTTACCTAAAACCCCTGTCATCTAACTTGGAGCGCTACTATGCTTTCTTCTGAATGGTGAATTTATCAGTGTGATTCGAGACAAAAAACAAGAGCTATATTTAACTGTTTTAAGTTGGCTCTTGTTATTAAATCAAAAAGCTTAAATAACTTAGTTGATATTTCCATCATTTACTGTACCTTCCCAGATGATAATGCACTATTTCTATAGCTGAGGTAAATGTCTGTAGGATATCACACTTAAAAGATATTATCTCTGAGATTATGTGTCATTCTTTAAACCAGAGGTTGACAAACTTTGTAAAGCATCAGGCGGGCGGTAGTCATTTTAAGTTTGTTTGGTTTTTTTTTTTTTTTGACTCTGCAATAATAGTACATAAATGAGTGAGTGTAGTGTGTTCCAATAAAATGTGACACTGAAATTTGAATGTAATAGAGTTTTCATAATCACAAATATTCTCCATCTGGATTTTAAAATTTCAATTTTCAAACGTTTATTAGTTTGAAATTCAGAAACAGAGATGGATTTATCCACGGATTCACTCCTAATTGGCTGCCACAGCTGGATCTGAGCCAGACGAAAGGCAGAAGTCAAGGACCTCAGCCTGGTGGTCCCCCATGTGCGGCGAGGGCCCAGGCACTTGGGCTATCTTCCATTGCCTGCCCAGGCACATTAGTAAAAAGCAGTGTTGGAAGTGGTGCAGCTGAGTCACCACTCTTTGCCATCCAGTGGTTTAAGCTGATGTGCCGCAATGCTGGGCCTCCCCTGGCTTTGCTTTTGTTTTCTTCAGTTGTTTCAAAGTGCAGAACCCACATGGAGACAGGAAGGAGGTTGGATTTGGCTCCTGCACGGTGGTTTTCCCATCCTCATTCTGGGCTGGGGACATACCAGTCTATCACTATGAACAATAAAGTATACTTCCAGAATGTATTACTTGTTCATTGGTAAAACTGAGTGCTGGCAGGTAATTTGTGTTAA